AGTTTGATGCTCTATCAACTGAGCTATCCCCAACTTAACCTAAACCTAACCTATTTTTTTTTTTTTTTTTTTTAACATGGAGGAAATCTTCGAAAGAAACCTAAACCTAACCTATACGTGTAATTAGTGTACAATAATATTATAATTCGTAACTCACCACTAAACTTTGCGGAAGGAGATGATATTTTTCTTTGGGAATCTGATCTGTATAATCGGAAGGGTCCCTGCTGAACCGGGGGAACCCGGAAAGGATTGCTTTCATATTTTTTGCTACTATTTTGTCTGTCTTCGCCAAATGTTTAACTAATTGGTTCATCCCACTCCAATAATCGATTGACCAAGACTTCATAAGATTCTTATAAGCTCTGCCTGTGCTCCTTAGCTCGCTGTCTGATTTGCATACTTCCATCCACTTGCGCGAGACTAGTGCGGCAGAGTCTAAAGACTCGGCATTCAATTTGCGAAGTATCAGCTGCGAAATTTCTACCGGTAGTTTGGCGATGAAGTCTACCTTCACGGTTTCAACAGATTCGTCAGGTTTCGGAGGATCCGAAACTCTCGAAGGTCCCGCAGGCTTCGGAGGATCCGAAACTCTCGAAGATTCCGCAGGTTTCGGAGGATCCAAAAGTCTCGAAGATTCCGCAGGTTTCAGAGGATCCAAAAGTCTCGAAGATTCCGCAGGTTTCGGAGGATCCAAAAGTCTCGGGCGTGGTGGAGAATTCGGACATTTCACACGATTTGAAACTGTCGGACTGGGTGGAGGACTTTCCACACGTTTCTCATTTAAACGTTCTGCACGTTTTCCATGTTTTTCATGTTGTGCACGTTGCACAAATTCCGGAAATTCTAAAAATTCCAGCGGTTCCGGGAATTCCGGTGGTTCCAGAAGTCCCAGATGTTCCAGATGTTCGTAAGAAAGATCGTTGTGTTCAGCCATGTTGCTATTCAGACAAAAACAAAACTAACTTTTCAGTTTGAAAATTGAGGTTTATATAGTGGTCGTGACAACTGAATGGGAGTTGCTGTTGTCCTTCCGGTTATTGTTTTGGTTTCACTTCAGATTCTGGTTTCATTCCGATTGGTTCAGTGATTCGACCAATCGGAATCGTGCATAAATAAATACAATGTGCCCTTAAAAGGCAGATAAACGAAACTTGATAAACGAAAGAGCAATAAATAAAGGTAAATCCTAGCACAATGAATCCTTTAAATCTTAAGGGTAAATCTTGGAACAATGAATACCATTCGTGACAAATCCTTATGGCTGAATACAATGAACCCATATTCAGGTATCGGATCTATTGTAATTCCGTAAAGACAAAATCGTACGGTACGAGCTTTGCATTCGAAATTAATCGTTTCGCAGAACCTATTCACTTTCTTTAGAAATCAAATTCACTTCGTGGGCGACTCAAAAAGTGAAATAGAATACGCTTTATTATTTCTAGCGTCACACTTTCCAATGTAGAACTTCCTTCAGAAATTAAATACCAAGATGCAAGAAATATTTC